CCTCATCTCCCACTCATGCTGTCACTGAGGAACCTGACAGTGCCCAGCGTACGGTTTGTTATGCAGCAGTAACTAAAGTGGCAGTGCATCCTCCAGCTGGTGACAGCGCAACCAACAGCCCTTCGCTCACTGGAGGTGATGGGAAGCACCTTCGGGTTCCCTCTCACCAAGGTGACACAGCACCATGAGGAAACTCCCCCAACATGAGGAGCCGTTTCTCACGTCCTTACCTCCAAAAGAAACTACTTCATTGTTGTACTGACAGTACAGAGGCCCTTTGCTGTGGCAGCACAGCCCACATTGATTGTGTTGCACTGTGGGGCTTAGGAACAAGTAACATCCATGCTATGCATTACTTTGACTCCTCCTTTCCGTGCTGTACATCAATATGTGTGAACAGGAATCAGATTTGTAATTTGTTTGGTACAACTTAATCTATAAAGCAGTTCTAATAAGGACATTACAAATATTTTGCTTGTGTTGCAGCCAAGTCTAAGAAAATGTAGCATACTGCTGCCTGCAGAATCAGCTCTTCAAGTAATGAGGGCCAACGCTCCCCTTTCTGCCTGTCTGTTCTGCCTCTAACCCATCTTCGTTAGCTAAATACAGCCCACCAGCTAAAGGGAGATTGGTTATCTAAGCAGGTGACATACACTAGGACATAACAGGAACCCACCAGCCTGTATGCTCTTCAGACCCAAAGCTGAGAAGCATCAGCTGTTTTGGCACACACCGGAGCTCAGCTAGGAGCTCGGGTTAGGTGGGCACAGGGGTCACCTCACCTTCCTGAGTCCTGCTGTAACTCAATTTAACAAAACTTTCAATAAAATTTCATTGTTTACTAGTAGCTGATATTCTTTGGTAGAACCCCATTTGCTGTATCAGGATTAACACCCCCTTTTGTCCATGTTTTATTTTCTCTGTTAGTCTCATAAGCTACACAGGTCACGGTGCATGTATACATGTGCCCATGTGTCACTGTCTCCCATTCCAGTTGTATCAGCAACAGGTACAACCCCACCGCAGTGGTGACCACGAGGTGCTACCAGAACATCCCTCATACTGATACTGAGCTCATTCATGCAGCCATGGTGAAGTGATGATGTCACAGAGACTCTGTCTAAAGGCAGAAATGCAAGACTAGGTCATGTCTAAACCAAGCCATTTTAAATAATGATTTTATTACTTTTTATGGCAGGAATGAGTTGGTGAGTTGCACGTTAAATCCTCTTCTTCCATCTACCTAAACATCCACCCAAAAGACATAGGTAGGCCCACTTCTCCCAGGAGCTAAAGCTTTGCAAGGTGACTCTACAGCTGCTAGATCTCTGCCTTGTTAGAAAAAGCCAAGGACAATAAATACTGCAATAGACGTAAAATGAAAGAACAGAACACAAAAGCAATGGCAAATTTATTACTAAGTGCTACTTCATGTGATGCTTTATGAGCAGGTAAACTGCAAAAAGGTACAAGGACAATGAGGAATCCATAGTGCATGACTAGCTAAGGCAGAAGAAAACATAAAATACCATTATTGCTGATGTCTTCCCACATTGCATTTTTACTGAAATTATTTGCTAGTTTTGATCAAAAAGGCATGTTTCTTTGTCAGTATGCACTCTGGTATTGGCACACAGAACCTTGCTGTCACTGATCACTGTCACCGCCTAACAGCTGTTGGATCTCACACGAAATAAGTCATCTTCATTAAGGTTCAAGTGGTATGTCAATTCACACGATCGCTGACAATGCCAGCCAGGCTACCAGCCAAAACAGAGCTCTTGACAGAAGATGAGGGAACTCCAGCGAGACAAGGAGGGGGAGCAGGCAGATATTTTCCTGCAGACAGGGTCTGTATTCCACTGGTTGTTTCAGCAGAGAGTTAGAAATAGTCCCAGGGCTATGCAGCCATCGTTCTTCCCAGATACTAAACTCACTCAAATACAGGAAATGAAAGTACAAACTTACTTGATGCTGGGATCCAAAACCACACTTAGGTAAAGTAGCTTAGTTATGGTGTTTAAAAATTAATAAATCTTTATACATCTTTATATAGCAAATATTCACTATACAGAGAATCCAAACAGGTAAGTACTAACCATAGAGCCTTCTCCATTCCATTTGTCACCCATCACTGGATCACATACTGTAACAGAATAAATCTTGCTTTAGAAGTGGGATATCATTATAGAGACCCTGGTGGGAGGGAAAAGTTTTAGGTAACAGTACTGGCTATGTAACAGCACTCTCACAGCTCTTGGAGCACACTCAACCTGAAGTTTAGAACTGGTGGCTGCCAATTCTGAAAGAGTAGGCCATGTGTCTTAATTGTCAGAGGGTTGTATTCACCCTCTCCTACCTGCTTCCATGCTGTTATGTCTGAAGGCAATGAGGATGAGAGGGTGTGACTGCTGGGAGTCAAGGGGCTTTTGTTATGGAAAAAGCCCTCCGCTTCACTGCCCAACCCAAAACTTCGGAATAGTAGTACGGTGGGGAAGAAACGTAGAAGCTAATAGCTGTGAAGAGAGTCCTATTTTTACCTTAGCGTTAGAAGAAGACATGCCAAACATACACACCAAAATGCTGTGAGTACACCTAAGAAAATTATGTGTATTATAATGAAACAAGAAAATCCATGCCAAAGTACATAAACTCATACTTGGTGTAATAATATTAACACACATTTGGCACTGGTTCTGAATAATCAGCAGTATTAACAACATATTCCAAGTGCCCTCAGTTTCAAAGTGAGGATGGAAACAGCCTAGCCTTGTGCTTTAAAAAGGAACATTGTTCATTGTATTAAAAGAGCTTTTGGCAGGATAAAAAAGAAATACAAATCCAAAGATACCAAATCAATGTCCAATCAGTATTTAAGGAAGTTTCTGTGAGTAAAAAGAGGGTAATTTGTTTTACATTTTTAAAGTATTGTCCTTACATTGTAATCTATTGAAATAAAAGTTATAAAAATAAAGGTTCTTAGAAGCCTAGCTGTGTTCTCATCATCTGACCACTTCCTTCCTGTTCTGTACAGCTAGATGTTTCTTTCTGCTCATACTCCAACACGGCGATTTTAGCTTACTTTCACTTTTCACTTACTAGTACAAGGCTCTGGAGAACCTGAAAATGCAAGAGTGTTAATACAGGCTAAAAAGCAACAAAACCCGAGCTCATGAAGATATCGCCGCTACATTTTTCTAAGAGAGAACTATGCTTTGTAAATGTTATGTCAGATATCATTCACACTCTGTGGTATTACACCTTGCAAATCCTGCGAACCATTCTAGATGTTTCCTGACCACACAGTTTGCTGAACCTGAAAATGACAGGCTCAAGCCATCATTCACAGCTTTTCTCACAGGTTTAAGCCTGACATGACATGCTAATGACAGCAGTTGCTAGAGCCTCTTGCTCTTTGAGCGCTCCCAAGTAATCTTAGCAGAGGACACCAGACTTAAAAAAGCCTTGGGGTTTAAGCTAAGTTGTGAAGCTTATAAGGCACAGTAAGACACTTCCTCTGGGATGTGACATGAAACTATGGCAGGGGAACATGAAAGCCACTATCCTGGTTTTGACTGACGTGGAAATCAAGGAGAGGCTTCAGGTATCAGCACTTAGAGCCTATGCCTCTGAACTATGAACAGCAGCAGCCAGCTGGGATTTTACAAGCCTTTCTTTGATACAATTAGTCCTCAGGGCACATTCTCCTTTGGACAGCATAATGCAAGAAACATACTGAAAGGCATAAAATCGGAAAGATAAAAAACCAACTCCCTCAACACTTCAGCAACACTGAAATGAAACTTCACTGGAGCTTCAGCTGGATCAGAGAACAAGATGGTTGTGAAATGCCGGGTAACACCAGAACAGTGTTTTCATCCTAAAACGTAAAAATGATGGCATATACAGTGATGAAGCAGAAAGGATTATAATACACATCCTTACCATATACTAGGTTAGAATTCTGTTGTTTCAACTCCTGGACAATATCCACCACCATTGCAAGAAACGATGTGTCTCTTGTATACCCTTTGGGAAAAAAAGGCACTTTAGAAGTCTATTTTCATGAACACTTTTTTTTTTTTTTTTTTTAAATTTTGGATAGGAATGCTACCTACTTCTCATTCTTTGGTACAGTGCATTTTTAGAACATAGGCCATTTAGTATTTCATTCAGGAATAATAGGTGGAAGACAAATTCAGACAATGCTTGTACAGCTACAAATATAAATTTAAAAATCCATTTACTAAGAATGTTTTACAAGAAGGGCTCATACAACTTCAAAATGCTTGAACATATATAGAAAAAGGTCAGGCTGAAAGGAAAAAACATTCCGTTTCTTCAAAACAGCAGTCCGAATCAGTACTATTTATCATGTAGCAAACAAGAAATATTTTAAATTCCATATACTTATCTCATATGCTGATTTGAAGCAGGTATTTCATTATTATTAATGTTGGTGCTGATACAGTCCAACACATTAATGCAATGGAGAATTAATCTTGACTATTTTAGAGCAATGGCCAATATAACAATAAAATTCCTATTTTTAGGCTTAGCTGTGAAATAAGTTTTATTATATCTCAAGGCCCTAATCACAATGCTAGCACCACAATATTCTTATTTAATCATTAATTTCTTATATATATAAAAATCTACAAAATAATTTTATGTACTAATTTTATTTACAACATTTATTAATTAATAGGTTTATTTTCATTGATTTAATTCGTTTAGTAGTATTATTTTTAGCAAGGTAGCTTCTTCAAACCTTCAGCTTGGAAAAGTCCACTTGACCTTTAAATATTTAAAAATATATTTTGGAGATTTTATTTTTTTTTTACTCTCAAAATTTATGAATTCTTAGATGTTGCAGAGAAATGGAAAAAGCTTTCAAGTTATTTGGCCAAAATGCTTTGTCTTATGCCTATGAATTGCAGAATTGGTCAAAAAAGCCAAGGAAAGATTTTTGTTTAAAGTGACCTGTGGCGGTAGACTGGCTGAGAAAAAAAGGATATATATTAACAGAGGTGTTTCAAAAAAATTACGTTGAATGGGAGTTTCTCTCTTAACTTGAGTGTTTTACTGTAAATGAAACAAATATATGAAGATCTACAAGTAACTAATAGTCACAAAAGTTAATGAAGTGCTATTTTGTACAAATGAACCTTAAGATAACAATTTCCATCTCAGCCAAGATATCTACAGTCACCAGACATGCAATTACAGTCAAATCCCATCTGCTGACAAATTAATTTGTTTTCAGTGTTTGAATAATCATGTCCAGGTTGATGGAGGTACAAAGTACAGTTGTGCACTACAGTGAATGGCTGTTCCTGTTTGAAGAGAAAAATCTGTCTTTTGGCCCTGAATGAAAAAAAACTGAATTCAAAGTTCAGCCACAGTAGAACTGAAAACTAAACACTGAGAGTGTTATCAGATCTTAAGAAATTAGTACCATTTCTACCCACGTCTTCTTTTTGTCCATACTGAAAATGGCTACACTGAACGAGATTTTTAAACAAACATGAGCAACACACTGACCCGTCTACCTGCAAATCCTATTTTTAAAGACATATTAATATATATTCCTTTTTTTCTCCGATTTTTTTTCTGAAGATTCCTATTTTTCTTTCTACCATTTTTAACTCTTAACGTCCATTCTGCCCATATAAGAAAGTGATAGGAAAGGAGTTGGGGTGTCTTCCAAGAGTTCAAAGTAAAATAAAAGAGGAACATTTTGGCTAAAAGTATACTCAAACATTATTTACAAATTTTGCATACTAACATCTCCTGAACACTCCTACAACATAGTGGGCTCTTCCTGGAAATGTCCTCTGTGTGAGTTCCTTCAAAGAAAGAAAGGGTGTTTGTCTATTTCTCAATCAAGAAACCATCTGTGCTGAAATTAATTTCTTAACCTTAGTTCAGTCTATTTTCTATTTATATTCCTTTACTTTGGAGATATTCCCTGAAAAAGAACTGACAGTAACTCTTCAGACACACCACACCCTTGGGATTATAATCCGTACACTTAAAGTCTCCAGTTTTCCCTGTGTATAAAGAACTTTCCTACATGTAGAAGCCATGAAATCAATAAAATACAGCAATATATTTCTCTGTACCTTTAAAAAGTGACGGTTCACTGCTATAAAAAATTGATACGGTATTCTAAATCAGATGCATAGCTCTTACTGAGGTGAAACCTGATCAGTAATCTACATTTGAGAAGCAGGAATTGGATGAGAAGCAGGTTTTAAAAAAAACTGCAGCAAGAATCTCTCCTTTCTATAAAGCATTCTACAAGAAATTCTCTTTGCCTACACTTACAAACACTTTGCACCTAGTGGCAAGCAAAGGAAAACACTGCATAGTCATTACGTCCTGCAGAATTGTATTCACCCAGAGGACCTACATAGTAACAAGAACAAAAAAAATCAAGTGATATGAGAGAGTCAAAACCAAAATCCAATCCTGGTTATACTTTGCTCTGTATAGCACTGCAGAGTGCCAGTACTGCAAATCTAGGAGAAAGGGTTAAACTCATGTTTTCATAATAAATTTAAAAATAATACTCTGACATTCCTGATCCTTTTTTCAGTAGAGGCACTCCCAAAACATGAATTAAGCCTGTACGTGACTGGCCTGTACAAGTCTGTAAACTATACCAGGGGATCAATTTACCCAGCCAGTTACAACCTTCAGGTTGGAGAACACTGTCTGTTTCAAACTAAACAGCATGAGCAGTTGAGATTGTAATATATAGATGAAATGGCAGGAGGAATCAAAGGAGGGAAAATGCAATTGCTTGATTTGGAATAAGGAGGGATATGGTTTTTATGTTTGTTTACATTTCATGGGAAATCCAAGGAACGAGCTCTTCTTACCTGTGAGTACATAATCATACTGGTTGACCTTGTTCAGCTTAAGTCCTTCATACAGTTCATGAAGTTCATCTGAATTTAACACCTGACCCTTCCAGTGGGCATAACCTGCAAAGCAAATGTCAGATAATTTTTCAGGAGCTAGGTTTTCTATTCAGGATCACACAGATTATACACTTGGAGGGACCGTATCAGATATTAGCACCATAAAGCATTTCCACCTCCTCTTCTGTAAAACGCTGTTGCTGAATTAAAGCTGCTGTCAGCAGAACAGTTAATGTGCTCAACTTCTTAGCACCTCTGTTTCCCAAAGGAACACTGGAGTTTGAGACTGTCCATTTATCAGAAAATCGAGCAGAACACACACAAGCTCCTGCAAGTCTTCCCATGGAGCCTGTACAATTATCCCTTTCCTGTGCAAAGGGGGACAAACGTATGTTTTAGACTTCACTGGAGGAGGGTGTCAGTATAATCTATTTTTGTTATTTTATACTATAAAAAAAAAAAAAAAGATTGACAGCTACATGACAAGCTTAAACAGGCTTGTTTATCTGTCCCGACACCAGCATGCAGCACTGCGGCACCCATCAGATACGGCGTTCACTGGGACCTGCATGTAAAGAACAGAGTGACCGCAGCAGAACACTGTCATGGATGCTCTTTGAACACACAATGTTATCTGACAGGTTTTCTTCCAAAAATAGCACAGTTTTAATGTTGAGGATCCTGGAGGAGGCAAATGAGTATCAGAAAGACACTATAAACAGACAAATAATATCCATACACTCTTACCCTTGAATGATCTTTAAGAATTACAAGCCAATATTCTTGGCTGAGAAGTGGGTAGAAGGTGAAGTCACTTGGGAGAGGCAGAACTGGTTTCAGTGAACAACGGACCAAGCTCCATGGCAGATAATTTCAAGGGAAAAAAAATAGTCTTCCTTGACAGACTCTTAAGCATTTGTTGAAAAATGTAAATGCACGTTGCACCTTGTCATCAAGACCTGCCCATCTAGATATAGTCATCACTCCCTTGTATATAAGAATGGGGCTTCCTCCAGGATATTAGATGAATTACCAACAACTGAACTCTTCCGACCGCCATAAATTCAGAGTTTGTTAAAAAGCTTATCTTTTCATTAACTGGAATTAGGAAAAGTGAAATGTTAAATGAGGTATTTCTTCCACACCACCCCTGTGTAAAGACAATTGTATTTTGTTTGGTTTAACTTCTGCTCCTGAGAGTTAGAAAATTCTGTGATAAAAACTGCTGGCTTTGATTATCACTCTAAACTGTGTTATTAGAGTAACTGCCAAAAGGTGCCTAGAGCCTAGAATAAGCACATTTTTCAGTTTTCCTTCTTATGAATGCAAATACACCCACAGTAGGGTGAGCAGATGGATCATTTTGTTCTCCTCGGCTCACGAAGGCCTAGCCTCTAAAACACGACTCGCTGCCAGCTGGCTGGGGGGCTGACTCACATCAGCCACTACAATTCTCTCCCTAGCAAATGCTTTTTTAAAAAGTCTCTGTGAAGAAACGGACAAAGTGAGGGATTCCCCTATGTTAGGGCTGCAGTTCCATTGCAGAACATAGTGATACTCAAAACGGCAACGCCTAACACCTAGGCACATGTCTAGCCCCAAGTATATGAGGAACCCTTGACGAGAACTAACTCAAGTATCAGCTTGTTTAACACATATGCAGATGTTTGTTCTGTCACATCTGCAGCTTCAGGGAGAAATAATCTGCCCTCTCCTCTTCCCCAAATCTCTACTTCCATTAGCACTGCAAAGTACAGGGACACAACAGAATCCTTTTTATTCCATTGTGCCCATCAATGAAACCAAGTGCAGTTTTCACCCAGAATCAAAGTCAGCTGGCAAAAGAGCAGTCATTCATATTACGCACAGCCATAAGAATAACCACGATAGATTGTCCAGACAATCCAGATATTCTTGGGAGCCATTCCTACAGATCAATCCTGTAGATTCACTATTTAACTAGAAGTTCACCATCCTCTGTCAAGCTGTCTTAAACAGTCAATGCACAGGGTCCATGTCATGCCGATTCTCCACTGAGAACAGAAACAAAATGTTAGGAAGCACCCCAGCTTAGCTCAGGAACTGGTAACTTACTCACATGGGGCAGGAACATTGTCTGAACTCTATAGCAATGACTTCCAAGGGTATCTAGAGGATCTTTTTACCACCTGGTAACACGTGTAATACAACCTAAAGTCTAAACGCATGATAGCAGGTGGGAAAAAAAAAAAAAGCCCTCAGGAAGCCCCAGCTATTCAGACAGAAGAAAAAGGGCAATGCCTTCACTGGCTGTACAGAGAACTGTGATTTCACTATGAGTTGAATTATGTTTGAGTAAGAGGAAACAATCAAAATCAAAACTGGCAGCAAGATGGAAGCCACCATCCTTTCCCCAGCGTAATTTCATGTAACATGAACAAGGGGCCAATCTCATGATCCTGCATTTATCCTACTCTCCTGGTGGAATATACAACCAATAAGCAGCTTCTGTAGAGGGACAGAAGAAAAAAACAGTTATGTTCAGAAACGGTTTCACTAACTGAAGTATGGATACCTTAGGGCCCCAGGAAGAGGGACTATCTTGAAAGATGAAATGCAAAAAAATCCAGATAGGTACTGTGTGTTCAGAAAAACCACTGCATAGCCCTGACCCCAAAGCTAGTTAGCAGGGAATGCCAACAGCAGGCTTAAACATGTGAGGTCCAGTTGGCTTTAGGGAAAAGCATGAGTGGTTGGAGTTAGGATGATAACGAGAAATTGCTGTCTTCCTTGGCTAGGCATAAGAACTCGGCTGGCAATGAGCACATTTGAAGGCTGTATTTCCACTATGGCACTCAACAAAACAGAAGTTCAAAGTCTCACAGTACCTGGCTGTTTGCACACATTATACAAGAACCACAGCCAAGAAAACCAAAGAATGAGTTTCAAGTTTGTACTTGGCAAAAAACCCCTGCATTCCATTTGGAGACGACAGAGCTGGTTAGGCATAGCAGCTGGATCAAATTATTACTCTTTTATCTTGGATATTAAGGTGAGATCTGGTTTGTATCTTCCATACAGGAAGAAAGATGAGTCTTCCTTGCTTTGGTTACAAAACCACCAAATTCCCCTCAGTGCAGGACTGAGAGAGCACAGAGAACGTGCAAATCATGATACAGCCCTCCAAAAGCAACTTGGCTCAGACTGACTGCATTAGTCTCCCAGGTTAGTAATAATTTTAAATGCATAGATCAACATAAACATTTAAACATCTTTATATCCCTTCTGCTTATCTGTGTTATGGCCTTTTATTGCAATTAAATGTTATGCATTTGCTTTTAAGCAGATAAGGGAATGAAAACCAGGTAAGATACGATGCCTCTTGTCACTTATCCCTCTAAAATGATAAACGTATTCATTAGTCTCCAAGGAAATGTGTTGGTTCATCTGTACGAAAAAGAAAAAAAACCAAAACCACAACCAAGAGAGGCAGCTAATACTGCATCCAAGATTAATTTACATACTTTTCTTTCTTGCCTTCCTCCACTGGTACTTTTTTTTTCTCCTTTGGAATGTATTTATAAGCCTCTTAATTACTTTCAAAAACAAGGAAAAACAAGAGAATAAAATCCCAGGCATACCAGAAGGGGGAAAAAACCCAATGCACAAAAAACCCCCCACCAAGCTACCATTTAAGTACAGCAAGGCATGCAAGACTTTTTTGTTCTCCATCCCAGAACATCCTGTTCTGAGGTTCGAGTTCCTCCTGTGCTGCTCCCTGCAAAACTATTCCAAGTGGCTTCAGTAATCAAGTATTTTACATGGGAAAAAGGAAGAAAGATCTAGTGTTTAAGGTACCTGATGGGCAGGCAATCTGGTCCCAGCCGTGCCACAAAATTCATATGCAAACTCTGGCAGCCAACCTGGTCTAAAAGGACTTAATCTCCAGCTACCAGGAGGCCTTCAACAAAACCAGAAATACAGTACCAAATTCTCCATTGGATTTTTTTACAGCTGGTCAGCGTAGGCGTAAAATACTACCAGTGTTAGGCACGGGTAGAGATCTTTTCTTTTTGTCCTGCACTGCACAGGTGTGAATGACTGCATATGGGTGGTAGACTGTGAAGAATCACATCGAGACATAATTACAATCTCTCATGTATTAGACATACCAGCCAACCCAACCACCCACTACATACCCACTAAGTGGAAGTCCAAAAGTGCTTTGCTTAAAAATAAAAAGAAAAGGACGAGAAAAAAACCCCACGCTATTTGTTCTGGAGCAGTTTCAAAGGTAGGATTTGTACGGCAAAGTAAGCACATTATATGCTTACCATTAACCTATGAATTAAAAACAAAAACGCAAATCACTGGAGAATTAAAAACGCACCCCACAAAATCAATGATACAATAAAAAAAAAAAACCTAGATTTTTATTTTTGTACACCAGATGACGAGATGCTTCTGCAAACAATAGAGTAAAAAAGAATAAAGGCACAGAATCTTTAAACGTTGCATGACAGCTTCTTTTATTCGTACATGAAGCATGATGCCATTCAAGGGTGAGTCACTCTAATCACAAAAGTTCCTTACCCAAGCAACATGACAAACTGTTCTCCCAGGGGGACTGATTTAAAGCACATTTTCCAAATTTCAGGATTATCAGAGACTAAAGAAAGCTGAATTTTCTGAGCAGGAGTCAGCAGAAATAGGCCTGTGGTGTCTTACTAATTTAAAAGACAGGGCAAAAAAAAGCAATAATGATTCACCAAGAAGGCCTGTTAGTCATAAATGCTCTCTGCATTGTATCTTTTGCTGACAAGACCAGGTTTAAAGACAGGGATGGGGAAAGCAAGCAAGCCATGGCCAAAACCTCACACGCTTTGCGTACCCTCTGGTATGTCACATTCTTTTAGAAACTAGAGTTCACAGATTTTGAAGCAAAAATTTGCCCTTCAGTTTTAATAATGATCATAGAAAGGGTTCTCGTAAGATCTTGTTCTTGTAGAAAAATCAAGTTACCTTCGCCAGTTCATCCAGCACACGATTCCTGTGTATTGCAGCACTGCTCCAGACACAAGTGTTCTGGTTTTGGCTGGGACAGAGTTGATTTTCTTCATAGTGGCTTGCATAGTGCTGTGTTTTGGATTTAGTACTAGAAGAATGTTGATAACACACTGGTGTTGTAGTTGTTGCTGGGTAGTGCTTATGGACTTCTCAGCTCTGCCAGGTGCACAAGAAGCTGGGAGGGGGCACAGCCAGGACAGCTGACCTGAACTGATCAAAGGGCTATTCCATACCATATGATGTCTTGCTCAGTATATAAGCTGGGGGAAGAAGGAGGAAGGGGGGACATTCAGAGTGACGGCGTTTGTCTTCCCAAGTCACCGTTACGTGTGATGGAGCCCTGCTGTCCTGGGGATGGCTGAGCACCTGCCTGCCCATGGGAAGCAGGGAATTAATTCCTTGCTTTGCTTTGCTTGCGTGCGCGGCTTTTGCTTTCCCTAGGAAACTGCCTTTATCTCAACCCACGAGTTTTCTCACTTCTA